TGAAGAGTCTGTAGTTGTAGGCAGGGTAACAGTTACAGCTTCTGCTATGAAGAATGCTGCAAGACTTGGGGTGGCAGAGAGACTGAAAATTGAAAAAGGAAAGCAAAGTGTGCCTATAAAAAGCGTCCTATTTGTGAAGTCAGAAACTCTAAAGCCAAGGAGACAGTGGGCAAATCCTAAACCAAGCCTTGCACCTAGCTAAGGTGGGTTTTCACAAGTTAACACAGCATTCCCAGTATGTCCAGATAAACTCAACCCACTGCACCCGAGGCCAAACAACAGAAGAGGAGACTTCACCCAGGATGCACGTCTGAGAGAACGCACCCTTTGCCCCCAACAGGCTGAAAGGTGAAACCTCCTAGGTGTCTAACTCTTTACACCCCCCCCGCCCCCCCAGGGGACGCCATATCTCCATGTGTTACACAGACTGACTTGGGATGGAAACAGGCAGAAACATGGAGTGGAAGCTGTGGGCATTGTCTGTACCATTGCATTTCCCCCATAACATTTCAACCATCAAATTGCCATGGGGTGCGGACTTGCCTACAAGTCTGTAATCTGCCGGTGGGGACCCCACGCATACAAGGGTGAGAGGAAGGCAAAGACACAGGCTCTCTTCCTGACAGTCAGCCATCCCGCTTAGGCTTCAAAGCCACACAAGCTGGCATGGAGAGGGGGTCTCAGACCTGAGAGCCTGACCACCACCTCGGGCTGGAAGGAACCAAGGCACAGGCAGGCTGGATATCTGCTCAGACGGGACCCAGGGACCAATCACTCCACATTCCCTCTAATTATGCATGGCCTCTTTCTTTCTCCCACCCACCTTTTCTCCCCGCAGGGTTTCACGATGTAGCTCAGGCTAGACTGCAACCAGTGTAGCTCAGGTCTCAAACAAAAGACAATCCTCCTGCTGCTTCTGCGCCTACCTCCGAGCGTAAGCTACCTACCACACCTGGCTAAGGTCAAACCGCTTGTAGCTGAGCAGGAGGCATGGTTTCAGTTGACTAAGACAGTCAACCCATAACCATCCCCAGTTCCCATGCCTCGATGGGGGAGGGCAGGGGGAGGGCCAGGGGCAGGAGGGCAGGGGGAGGGGTGTTGAGCCGACTCAGCAGGTAATCCCTGATGATCTGACTCTGAGCCCCAGGACCCAGTGAGAAACCAGATGCCCAGGCTGGCATCTAACCCCAGGACCTCCGCGGTGGCTGAGGTGGGAGGCAGAGGCAGGAGAAGCATGCCGCTTTCAGGCCAGCTGCAGAGCCTGAGAACCACGAGACACCCTGCCTCTAAAACCAGACAGAAGGAGTGAACGGGCTCCCAGAAGCTGTCCTGACCTCCCGGGCATATCCTCCTCCGACCCAACACACACACAGTTTTTTAAAACAAGTTCCAAGGTGTGGGTACAGTTGGAATCTCCTTGCTGGGGGCGGGACACGTATGTAAGGAACTTAGGGCCCTGCTTAAGCTCCTTTTATGCAGATCAGAATAGATGTTATTAAAAGAAAATCATCTGTCATGAGTCATAATCATTTTAAAAGAACTGTGTGTTGAGTAGAAACAAGTAGATTCTGTATGATTTCCAGACAGCCTTCGCGCAAAGCTCTAGCCATCAAATACACATTTGTGTTTGAGACATCAAGGCAAGTGCATGTTTCCCGACCGTCCGGAACTCTGCCCTGCAGAAGCCAAATGGGAACTCTGAAACTGCCCGTCAGCTTGGTGACAACAAGGCAAAGGGAACCAGCTAACTAGTGCCAACAGCCCAAAGCACGGGTAATCACTGGTTCAGAGCAAAGCTTAGCTTTCTAAGTAGAAGTATTCATAGAAGGAGCAGCTAGTAAAATGGGATCCGCCAGGCAGATATTTGCCCGAGTAGAAAATAACCTTATTTTAATAAGGGTTTCCACTCACTTGGAACAGTATGAATCTCTCTAGTGATGTTACACTAGTGATGATAGTTCTTTATGTAGACATTTAATTAACATACTCTACTCAAAGCAAATCTCACATTTCCAACTCACATATTAGAAGTTATAAGAGTTGGCCAGGCGTTGGTGGCTCCCTTCCCTGCAGGACGGTTTCCACCCGACTTTGATGTTAAAGTAACAACCGAGTCCAGCCCTCTGGGAACCCTTCCCTGGTTGCTCTTCAGACCTTCCCTCCGTGGCAACCTGCCCCTCAACGCTCACTTGAACTCCTTCCTTCCGGCCTTAACCCCAGTTCACCCTGGCATCTGCACATCACGTCAGCATTGCTATTCCTTTTGCATGGATTCCGGACACAAAACTCCCCTAAGGAGCTTCTTTCCATCAACCCAGCCAGCCTGTGCAGAGGCCATCCTGGGCTACTCAGTCTGATGCCTCAGTGAGTATCTCTGCACCCACACTGTCGCCAGAACCCCTCTCTGGACCCCGGAAGGCAGAGTCCACCATTGGATTTGGGATGCCCAGGTGAGGCTCCCTCCCTGCGAGCTTTGGCACCTCAACTCCACACCTTCGGATCTAGGACTCCTCCCAGACAGCTCCTCACAGGGGGTTCCAGCCACGCTGCTTCCTCTCCTGGATCTAGCGTCCGCTGCTCGTGGCCAGTGCGGCTCCTAAGGCTGGCCCAATTAGCCAGCTCTTTGGTCCAGCATCCGAGTCATCAATGTGGGACCCTGTAAGGACCTGGCTGCCACCCAGCCTGCCACCGTTTCACGTTTATATGGTGCCCACTGTTAATACTCAGGCATCTATCTGCATGGGCCTGTCCTTGGGGTTCTCACAGGATGCGCCCTCAGCTGCAGCCACTAAGAGCACCACCTGTGCACATTCACTGTGTTCCCTTTGAAAAGGGCTCTGCCCAACTCCCATCCTCCTTTCTCTCCCTCTCTCTGTGCCCCCTCTTTCCCTTTCTCTCCCCCTTTCCTCTCTCACCCCCTCCTTCTCGTCTCCCCCCCTTCCCTTCCTCCTTTTTATGATCCATTCCCTAATTAAAAAAAAAAACCCTGTAGCTGGGTGTTGGTGATGCACGTCTTTATCCCAGCACTCGGGAGGCAGAGGCAGGTGGATCTCTGTGAGTTCGAGACCAGCCTGGTTTACAAAGTGAGTTCCAGGACAGGCTCCAAAGCAATTCAGAGAAACCCTTTCTGGAAAAACAAAAACAAACAAACAAACAAACAAAAAACCAAAAGCTCACCTCTGCTTGATCCCCTTCGCATGGCGTCTTTCTCTCCCGCACTGCTTTTCTTAAATTACAACAACCACCACTTCTGTCAGCCCTCTGTGCCCACAGGATCCACATGTACAGATTTGGGCAATCTGGAGTCTTTTCTTTTTTTTTCCTTCATAAAAACTGCACCAGTAAGAACATGCACAGACCTTCCCTTCATGCCATTATTTAAAAAAACAAAAAACAAGCCAACAGTATTTAACAACTATTTATATAGCATTTACAACCTAGTGGATATCACATGTAACCTAAAGATGAGTTAAAGCACGTGGGTTGATATGCGTAGGCTATTTGCACGCATTACACTCTTTTACACAGGAAACTTTGCCATGCGTGGATTTTAGCATCAGAGGGGTGCCCCAGAACCAAAAACCGCCACAGATACAGAGGAATAGCTGCGCTTAAAAATAGCTCGTTCCCTTGCTTCTCTCCTAGAATCCGAGCCCCAGGAAAGCAACAAGCTCACCACCATACCTTCCTCTGAGCCTGGGACCTCAGTGTGGAAACCAGCACCAGTCATTAGCAGAACCAACGCATTCCAGAGAATGCCACTGCCCTTTCGATGCCCACTGCTCCCTGAGCCCCCCTCCCCCCTCCCCCTCCTCTTCCCCCCTCCTCCCCCCTTCTGCTACATCTGATTATTTACCTTTTCTGCTTCCCTCAATCAAACGCATCAGCAAAGCTTCCAGCGCCTGGCGCTGGGTCCATATGTCAATGAACCGCAGCTGAAGGTCACTGCCGGGAGACCCCACTGTGTCTTGGTAATTTGTAATTTAAAGCCCGTTTACTCTCAGGAAGGATTTACAGTGACCGCGTAAGCTTCCGGGCATCCCGTGCGAAGCAACAATTGTCGCCGTTCAGGGGCTCCCTCATCTCTCTAGCAGGCTTAGCTCTGGCCAGCACTTCAACCTCTCTTAGGGATCCCAGGCTCTCTCTTTCCCGAAAGCAAGGTGACTTCACCGTGAGACCGTCCTTACTCGCTTGGGTGCCTGCTAACCCACACATCTTGTGGAAAGATCCCCCAAACAGCATTGTCTACGATCTGCCCCCCCCCCTTGGGCAGACATTTACTAAGATTCTGTGGCGGGGCTGTCTGGGGATGTGAGGATACAGCAGAGAATAAAATTGCAATTTTGCCTTCAGGGCAAACAAGCAAGCGCTGGGCCTCATAATGAGTTATCATCTCTAGTGGCCAGGGGAGCTATATACCGTGTCCCTGGGGGGTTAGCCCCCGCCCTGCGTTTACTCGGTAGAGGAAGGGGTTCACCTCATTCACTGGGAGGCAGGAGGGAACAGACGTGACCCACTATTCATACATAGGACTCGGGCTCTGCATTCTCAATCTGCACTATTGGAAAAAAAAAAAACCGGTGTTTGGGTGAGGATCCATCCCGGTTGCTCATTATCTCGCGGTTGATTGGCCAGTTTGGGTAGAAGGGTGTTAGGGGGAGGGGGACCCCTTCCTGCGCCTTTAGGATACTCGGTTCCTTACAGGGGTGACACGCCACCATCAGGGGCACTCAGTACCCCGGGAGTTAGTTGTTCCCTCCCCTCCCCGATCTGCACAATCCGGACACTCTGGGCAGGAGAGGCGGTGGTCAGGAGGAACCGATCTCACAGCTCGAGCGAGCCGGTGGCACGCGATCTGGAGCGCGCGAGGCGGTGCAGGAGGAAGCCCGCCTTCGGGGCCAGCGAACCCCGGCAGGCGCCGGGCTGCGGTCCGTGTGCAGCCCCGGCCGCGCCCCGCAACAAGTGTCCGCCCTCCGCCCCGACGGCCGCACGGTCCTCACCCGGCACAGGCCGTCCACGAACACGCGCGGGTCCAGGTGGCAGGCGATGGTGGCGCTGGGCAGGTCCTGCAGGTCCACCTCCTCCATCTCGCAGTCGATGAAGCTCCAGTCGCCGCCGCCCTCGTCCGCCTCGGCAGCCGCCGCGTAGAAGGGCGCGAAGGGCCGCAGAGTCACCCGGGGAGGCGCCCGCGCCCCGACCGCCTCCGCCGCCTCCCCGAGCCGCGGCCCCGCCACGCCGTCCTCCATGCCCGGCGCGCGTTCCCCCTCGCTCCGCTCCGCGCCGCGGCCGCCGCCGCCGCCGCCGCCACCGCCGGCTCCCGCTTCACCCTCGCCGGGTCACCGCGGCGCCGGGACGCCGGCTTCCAGCGCCCGCCCCCGCCCCGCCTCTGCCCCGAGCGGGAGGGGGCGGCCAGCCTGCGCGCGTCGGCCTCGGGCCTCGGATCCCCGCGGAGCCCAGGGGCGGTCCCTTTAAGGTCGGCTCGCGCCGGTCATCGAGCCCTGCCCTGCCCAGGGAGAAGACCAATAACAGAGCCGAGTTTTGTCACGTGAGGTCCGGCCCGCCGCCCTACGCGTGAAGCCGCGGGGCGGCCATGTTTGTTAGGGGCAGAGGCCTCTTGCCAGGTCTGCCCGTCTGACAGCTGGCGGCGCCTGTTGAAGGACACCGGCCGGGGGATCCATCGCCGCCGCGGATGGTGACCCTGGAGGCAGCGCTTCCTACGGTCCCCACGCGGCCACGTTCGGAAACGTGTCAGCCGACTTTAGGGGACCTACACGAAGTCAGTTGGAGGCACTGTTCAGTGGCCAGCAGCAGCCTTTGGGTATACTTAGCCTGTGCGGCCACCGAATCACAAATGAGGGTTGAGTGACACCATGGAAACGTGCCTCGCGTTTGCATGTCAACTTATTAGTCATGGCATCACTGCCCAGTTTTTAGATGATTAGACGCATTTTTAGCGCACCAAACAAATGCGCTTTAATTGTATGTATGTATGTATGTATGTATGTATATCGTGTATACATAGACAGATATCACTGTATTTTGCTCACATCGGCCCTCCCTTGTGCCGTTTACCCCATCGTGCTGGTCTCTTTTCTTCCTTCTAAATACTTCCCTTTCCACTTTAATGTATTTTTTAATCGCCATGCATTATCAGTTACTTTTCTGTTACTGTGATAAAATACCATGACCAAGGCAACTTACGGAAGAGTCTATTAGAATCTGAAATAGAGTACAGAGGGATAAGAGCCCGCTTTGGTGGGAAGACCACGGCGGTAAGTAGCAGGCATATGAGCAGGAGCTGGAAATTGAGAACTCATACCTCAACCACGAGCCCGCCTAAAGCAGGGCCGGCGAACTAGAAATAGGGTGAGACCGTGTCTACCAAAGCCCATCTCCTGTGGGGCATTTCCTCCAGACATCCCCAAACACTGCTATCACACGTGGTACCAAGTATTCAACTGCCTGAGCCCACAGGGATACTTCTCATTCAAACCACTGTACACAGAAGGACAGTGGTTCTCAACCTGGGAGATGGCCGGCCACCTCACCGGGGTCATGCCGCATCAGATACCCTGCATACCAGACATTTACAGTATGATTCGTAACCGTGGCAAGATTACAGTGATGAAGTAGCATGAGATCATTCTTTGGTTGGGGGTCGCCACACCATGAGGAACTGTATTAAAGGGCCGCAGCATCAGGGAGGGTGAGAACCGCTGCAGGAGGAAATGAGGCAAGACACTGGACCTTGGTTTGGGGGGGGGGACAGGACCAAGGATAACACGGCAGAGTGAAAACTTGAGCGCGGCTCCATCTTTCTGTTAACTACCTGGAGAGCAATCTAGACCCTGGTTTCCTTCCCAATTAAATGAGGTCACACGGGAAGGGATTCAGTGCATACTCAGTAAATGGTACCCTCTGCTAGTGCCCTTAGGTTCTTAGGGGGATGTTGAGTGAGGGCTGTGTTTTCTCCTCAGATAGGAACACCTACTGGTCAGGATGTGGGGCTTTGTCCTACAATGTACATGCAATTAAAAGCCAGGATTTATTTAAAGGGTACCGTGTGTAAGGCCCTGTGATTGCAATTAACGATGCCTTCCAGAGCCCAAGAGAAGAAAGATAGCTCATTTGGAAATAATTCACAAAAGCCCAGAGGGGTGAGGATGGGAAGCAGCAGGGACCCTGGGCCTGCAGATGGTTCTGTGAAGTGACACAATCACTCTGCTACACAGTTTGGCGGGTCCCCTGGCAGAGAAAAGTCTAGAGTTAACCAAGCAGGTGTACGGAGCAGTATAAACCTGTGAAAAAGAAAGTCACGCAGCACGCAAGAAGCCGCACGTGACAGTTTATGGCATCTTTGCTCACGGGAAGAAGCCACATGCCCTGTGGATGGAGGCACCAGGAAGCATGTCTACACAACGGAAACGTGCTTGGCACACGAAGGAAAGAAAGATTAATGTGGTCACTGCCCCCCATGATGGAGCTCAGAGACATTATACCAATGAGAGAAGCCACTCACAAAATGTCATCTACCCCATTCGTATGGAATGTCCAGATTAGGCAAACACACAGAATAATATTATAGCTCAGTGGTTGCCAGGGACGGATGGGAGGGAAGCAGGGAGCGACTGTGAGAGTCATATTTCTTTGGGGCGTGACAAACAACTAAAGCTGGTTTGGTGATGTCTGCCCGACTCCTTGATTGGAAAAAAAACACCTCGTGGTGCCTTAGGAGGTAAATGTTATGGCATGCAATTGTCTCCACGTGGCCAGCATTTTAAAAATAGGATACGATAAAGGCCATGTGGGATTAGATGAGGTTCAGCAGAGGGAATGACATCACAGGGTCAAAAACCCTCTGCAAACCCCAGCCAGACATTCTCAAGAGGATGACAAAGGGAGAGAGGCCCCAGTGTTGGGAAAATATAACACTCAGCCAACCAGTTGCTGGGTGGGTCTGTTGTTTTCATCCTTGGGACAGGGCACCGCTTCCTGGCTGGCTTACTCTAAGCCATTTGTGGCACAGAGAGAGTGGGCTTGGTGGGCAAGGAGCGTGAAAGAACTCACTATGGAGACAGAAACCCAAGCTGTGGTCAGAGACGCAGTTACAGCTGGCTCAATGCTGCCGCTGAGGCAGGAGGATGGGGGTCAGCCTCAGGCAAGCAGCAAGGACAAGGTGGCCGTAAGGAAGGTTGGAGCACCCGCTGCTCATTGCTAGGTTACTAATAAAGAACACTCTGCCTCCCTGGCAGCAAAGCGGAGACAGGGGTGGTTCTCAGGTCTGATGGCCCAAGGCTAGGTGGATAGCAACAGCAATACTGGTACGTTTTAAATGTAATCTCCCCCACCTCTCTCTCTCCCTGCAGTCTCCTCTTTCCCTCTCCCCCTCCTCCCTCTCTCTCCCTCTCCTCCCTCCTGTCCTCTCTCCTCCTCCCTCCCTCTCCCCACCGCACCCCACCCCATCTCAGGGATGGTTGTGAGCCTCCCTGGTGAAGGTGTTGGGAACTGAACTTGGGTCCTCTGAAAAAGCAGCAAGAAATCTTAGCTCTGAGCCATCTCTTCGGCCCCAGACAGGTTTTGTCTATTTTTTTTTAATGTAATATTTCATGGGTGCACCTGCCAACCAGCTCATGTCCTCAAAGACAGGTGTTACTCCTGCAGCTTCTTAGAAGGCAGGAACCGGGAATCCATCAAATGCCTGTCCCTCGAGCAAACAGGCAGAGGCAGCAAGTCATTCTCATGCTACCTCAGTCCCTGCGGTCTCCTGCAAAAGAAGTATGAGCAATGCCCAAACTAACATGGCATAAAAGGTTTGAAGCTGAAAGAAGGGAGCAGAGATAATGATCCCGAGAGAGAGGTGCACAGGTGCCCTCCTCCACACGGGTGTCCCCTCCACACAGACGTCTCTCTCCACACAGGCTGCCCCACAGGGCACGCCCTGATACACCTGAGCCAGCTCCTGCTGGATGCCTGGAAGACAGCACTCTTAAAACTACCAGGTCGGCCGGGCGGTGGTGGCGCGCGCCTTTAATTCCAGCACTCGGGAGGCAGAGGCAGGCGGATCTCTGTGAGTTCGAGGCCGGGCTGGACCGACAGCCTCCAAAACAATACAGAGAAACCCTGTCTCGTAAAACCAAAAAAAAAAAAAAAAAAAAAAAACAACCAGGTCAAAACGCAGTGTAAGAATAGGATTGAGCTGGGCGGTGGTGGCGCACACCTTTAGTCCCAGCACTTGGGAGACAGAGGCAGGTGGATCTCTGTGAGTTTGAGACTAGCCTGACCTACAAGAACTAGTACCAGGACAGCCTCCAAAGCCACAGAGAAACCCTGTCTGGAAAAACAGAACAGAGATAGAGAGAGGGAGGGAGGGAGAGAGAAAGAGAGAGAGAGAGAGGGAGGGAGGGAGAGAGAGAGAGAGAGAGAGAGAGGGAGGGAGGGAGAGAGAGAGAGAGAGAGTGAGTAGAGAGAGAGAGAGAGAGAGAGAGAGAGAGAGAGAATAGGATCAGCACCATGCCTTCCATACGCCCTGCTCCTCTTTGCACTTAGAACATAGCATTTTATAGCCTTATGCCTTTTAAATCCAAGCTTAATGAAGCTGTGCCTTATGCTTCCTGTGACACCGGCAGGATCAACAATCAATAGTTGTCCCCGGAAAGGGAAAACCAGAAATGTAAGCTGTCAACAGCAAAGGCAGAAACCAAGCGTGACACATCCCTGGAATAAATATAATCGCAGCCATTTCTGAAGGAAAACCAACTGAACTCGGGGCAACCTTTTCAGAGAACATGCCACCCACCGTAAAGAATGGGTGACCCTGCCCCCTGTCCTGCCCCGCCCCCCTTGGGGGTCGTTAACTGAAGCCCTTTCTTTTACTGGCTGCAGCAAAGGGGACCTCAAATCTATCTAGTGTCTGGCTAGAGACATTTTCCTTCCTCATTGGCAGGAGGCATGCTGCATGCAGATGATTTGATCCAGAAGGGAAAGGAACCCGGAGAGGTGAAAAAACTCCTCAGGTCGCCCCTTCCTCCCACGCATTCCCCCCTTATGCTGCATTATGTCAGCTCAGGACCCCCGTGTCTGGTTTTGGTCCTTGCACCTGCCTCTTCCGTTGCCCCTCCCTCGGGTTTGCAGCCACGCCCTCGAGGGATGGGCCAGCCCATTCATCCTCCAGGCTTCATCCTACCACACCCCCAGTTGCTTTCTGTTCTACTCTCTTCTGAAGAGGGAGGGGGCTGTGTGCAGCAGGCGTTGGTGACTGATTGCTAAACGTACCAAAGACGTTTCTGCAGAGTCTG